AAAAAAAAAAAAAAAACCAACAACAAAAAAAACACCAACAAAGAAACCGCGCAGCTTCATTTGAGTCCTGCCTGGTCCCTGTGAAACAATGAGAGAAATACAGCATACTTGTAGTACAGTTATGTCTTTCTCACCTTACCCATTGATATTTCTCCTGTATGGAAAATTTCCATATGCCTTTGAACTACTAGTTTCTTTTCCCCAAAAGGATTTTTTTTTCTTGGAAATACCTTGGGCTTTTAGGTTTGTTTATTTATTTAAAGTTATTGGAGAGTTTAGGAAACTCCAAAAATTAGGCTTCGCTTCATCTGGTACCAAAAAAAAAAAAAAGCTAACCCCCTCTATGTGAAGCTTCACATTGTTACACGTATTTTGCTCATCCCGTATTCAGATTGCTAGACAGTAAACTATAATAAGGCATGCAGTTATTCTAATGCAGATCTACTCCCACGCAGCACGACAGCACTCGGCTGAACCCTGAATGTTACATTCCCAATCACAGTGGGGGCTTTTTATGTTGCTTCCACTGATGAACTTCAAAGCCCTCTTTTCTTCCCTACTGTTTTATTTTTATCTGAATTACTGTAATCTTGTTTGCTCTCATGTAAAACACTTGTTTTCATTGGAAGGAATTTTTTTAGTAACTCTTTTCTGCAAACATCCTACTGTAAGGATCAAGAAAAAAGTTTAAGAACATGGCTAATCCTGTTGGAAAGTAAGGGTATCAAGTTTTTGTTTTCCAGTGTGGAACCAAGTAGTTGCCTGTTTAACCTAAGTAGATACTAAGCTGGTCCAGTTTTGTAAAAGGGAAATTAAAACAGCGAAATTAATTTTCTTGTGCCCCAGGCCAAGGCCACTCATCAGGCTGGGGTGCTTAGATACCTCCCATTCCAGTTCTATAGTGAACAGCACACAAGAGAGTGACATGACCAGCATCAAACACATTTACTTTAGTATTCAGCGTAAAGAGTTATGTGTTCACGTACAAAGGCTTCAATGTAAGTCTGCAGCAGAACTTATGGCTCTGAATTCACATCAAGACCCTCTGTAATCACTGTCATCCAACTCATAGCAGTGTATTTAGTGTAGAGCACCAAGCAGTAAGAGCTAGGGACTGTTCCAGTTTCAGTTTCTGCTCTTTTGTGGATCTTCTGGAAGAATTTCACAAACCAAGACTAAGTGGTCAAAAATAGAAAATTAATAGCCAAGAGTAACACTTTCCAGCTTCTGCTGGAATGAGCATGCAGACCCTTTCCCCATGTAGAGGCACACATCATTTTCTTCTATTTTGGAAGTCACAGCAAAATGCTTCTGGTAAGGTTTCATTGCCTGTGCTCCCTCTCAAATTCCTTGTCACATCACTCATCGCTCCTTCTCCATGGGTGGAAACCAGCAAGTCATGAAGGTCCCCAGAATTCCTAAGTTTGATTGCTTTCAGACTACTGAGGAAAGTGATCAACAGGACTGAGCCAAGGTCTTAATGCAACAAAATTCATATTTTACTAGAGAGGTGTCTCATGTCACAACTGAAACAGCTGATACTAGTACACCCATTAGCTCTTAGCACAGTTTGTACTAAACTTACTCAGATCTGCTACTTGGAGTACTGAGATGTATTGAGATGACTGATGACAACTTCACTGGATTTTTCCAGGCTCATCTCAAAGGCAGAACGCAGACTTGAACATAAGTCCACAGTCTCCTTCATTTTACATTATTTCATCAGCCTTAAACATTATGATTAGGGAGCAACCTCTCTGCTGAACAGCAAGGCATAACCTTAAAGGGCATACCTGAACAGACCAAACACAGGTCTGTTACCCACTTCCCCCCTCCCCTTAGAGAAGTAAAAATAATTTATTTTCTTAAATTTGCTCTTTGACTCAAAACGGTGTGAAAGCAGTAATCCGGCTATGGACTTTTTGCCCCCTGTTTAAACCTCTCAGTCACGGTGACTTTGAATATCATGAAAGAGCTCAGATGCACAAAGCATCCATGTAGATTATCTAGAGAGGGATCTCATACTTTCAGTATGTGTCAGAAAGACTGTGGAGACAGTTAGCAAGTTAAAAAAAAGTCTTGTTCTCCTTCCAGGAGAGTTAAAACTCACTGTCAAGACTGTTGTAATACTGCTTCCAATAAATTTTCCTCATAAATCTGGAGATAAGAGATTTTTTCCCACAGTTGTCATTTGGTATCTTTTACTGGCACTAATATTCACTCACTTGCTCTAGAACTAAACAGAGCTGTCACTGAGGTTGGGCTGCTAACAAGTGACATTGGTAGCAATTTCTTTCCAAAACAACTAATTCTATCTGCTTTCTTATTCCTTTCCCTGCAGGCACTCACTATGGCACCAATTCAGGCAACGAATGTACTACACCTGGATGTGTTACAGCAGGTAATGATTGTTACTATGAATGATTACTGCAGAGGTGATGTTTTACATGTTGTTAGTTCTGCTGAACCTGAGTAAGCAATAGTTCAGGCTTTAAGACTGAAGAAGTTGAAAAGGAATGAAATTTCCCCTTGGGCTAGATACGTGTTGCTATTACTGTCAAAGGCAGCGAGTACAGCTGTCCTCAAATACAGCTCCATGTGTAAACACTGAGCAAAAAACCCTATTCTTCTCCACTGTATGTTTTCTTTGTCACCAGGAGTACCATTCATAAGGAAGTAGTACAGTAAAATTGCCAGTGTGGTCAACAGTTCTCTGGCTCTGGCCTGAGCCACTAGGGTGTGGATTGACCAACACCATCTGTATCTATGAAGTACAATAAGAATCCCCTTAGACTGAATTTTCTCTCAAAGAGAATGCGTTCCACACATGGGGCTACTCACCTTCTTATTTTTGGCATATACTTGTACACCCCCAGAGAGGTAAGAGTCCAGCACAGATGTTCCCAATTGCCCCCTGGAAACACTGACTTCCTCAGTAGGTACCTAAGCGAGGGCCCCAGGTAGCAGGCTCATGCCTGTAAGACACTGTGCTGTGGGAGAATTATTCTCCCATTCAGAGGCTTCCTCTGTAGAGCAGTACAATTGCAGTGCAGATGTCTGCTGTCAGGTGCTTCCTTGCATTTTTAAGCAGAAAATAGGATCCTCTGAATCATAATACATGAGAATGAGTCTTATCCACTATAAGCAGCATAAGCAAGGTGCCTTCTTGCCAAGCAGCTTCTAGACAGTGTTTGGTAGTCCCAGAGATTACTGGGCAGTCTGTGGAATTCAACTCTCTAATTCTGATACCTAGCTGCTAGAATAATTCAGAATATGGACCCAACAGCTGACCCTTGCAAGGATTTCTACCAGTATGCCTGTGGGGGCTGGCTGAACCGGCATGTTATCCCAGAAACTAGCTCCAGATACAGCATTTTCGACATCCTGAGAGACGAGCTGGAGATCATCCTAAAAGGTAGGAATGAGGCTACTCTATCCTTGGTCATGCACTTGTGTTTAGTTTCAGATGTTATTTACTGCACATTATACAGAGAAATAAGCTTCCAGAGAAGTGTTGATTGTGATTTTTTTCTCTAGTCCTTTAATCTCCACATCTCTTACTACACCCGTTTTGTGGGAACATCCTGTTCCCACTAAAAATTAGCCATAGGTGATTTGGTACTAACTTCAAAAGGAGCAGGACAAGCTGTATGCATGTCCTCCTTCCTGACACTTTTTCCATTAATAGCTCCTTTAAAGAGCACTCTAGTTTCACAGTAATTGAAGCCTATAGTAACAAGTATTTATCATAGCCCTGAATTCTCAGTGATTTCTATGAAGAGATCAAAGCTCTCCAGGGCAAAAATCTCACTGCAACGGTTCCTTCCCCAGGTGTGCTGGAGACTTCAGATCAAGGGGACAGAGAAGCATTTCAGAAAGCTAAAATACTTTACAAGTCATGCATGAATGAGAGTGAGTCTCTTCTTGTTCCATTGATTCTCTTGTTCAATACCAAATGTACAAAAGTACCAACAAAAGTACTTCTAAGCGAAAGTCCAGTCAATATCTATCTAATCTGCATGGCCTTGCCTGGAAAGCTAATCTTCAGATGAATGAAGATGCCTTGGTACATCATTAGAGCTTAATAGACACGTTCTGGGATGTAGAAAGGATGGATGTTGGTTACCTACCTCTGGTATCAATGCAAAACCTTCCCTTCTGAATGCAAAAATGTGTCCCATTTCATCCTTTCCAAATTGATCCAGTCAAAATCAGTACTGAAGTCAACAGAAGTATTTTCATTACTTTTCTGAAGACTAATGTAGGAGACACATGGTTTCATAGTATCTTATTTTCTGCTATGACAAATTCAGTTTCAGATTTAAACTGTTAAGCCCATTACCTATTTTTCTTTTTTTTTTTCCCCTATGAAAACAATATAGTATTTGTTTTTCCTCTCTCAGGTCTTATAGAGCAACGAGATTCATTGCCTCTGCTAGAGGCCTTAATGATGGTTGGAGATTGGCCAGTGGCTTCTGCAGACTGGAATAAGACCAAAGGTAATGCTGTGCCTGAAAGAGTTCAGTAGTGTTAAGTCAGAATTATTTACTGCACTAAGGAGACTACTGTCACTGAATTAGAACCTCCATTTTAACTTTTTCTTCATAAACAAAAGTCAGGGTGTCATACATATTCAGCACACAGGGATCTCTATAAATAAGATAGTGTAAATGTAATACCTGTGTTATAAGATCTCATTCACGAACAGTGTACATTTTAAGATAGTTCAGAAGCCTAAATGACCAACATGAATAATGAAAACAAAAGTAACAGAACCAATATAGCTGTGTTCTAATGCTTGCATATTAACTAGGGTTTGGAGCATAACTACCTAACTAGGCAAGGTCATGGTGATTTATACTATGCATAGACAATTGCATTTATATATAAAAAATAAATCATTACTGATTACTTTACATTATTGAGACAGATAGGGCCAGTAAGAACAGTCTAGCACTTTCTAGCCACCATAGGAATGTCCTGTACAAATATTCCCACATCATGTCCAGTCTGGTTATAAACAATTGCAGCAATAAGCTTGCAAACTATGCAACTTAATCAGTCCTGATACATATTGATAGATGATTTATATTTTCCCTTTTATCTCCCAGAGCCAAGTTGGAGCATGGAAGAAAAACTCTCCATAATGAACTCCAGATTTAACAAACGTGTCCTCATTGACATGTTTGTATGGAATGATGACCGGGATTCCAGCAGACACATCATTTATGTAAGAAAAAAATGGCAGGGAATTATTTATATGCCAGAATCATAATGGATAGTTATTTACGCTGCATACAGATTAGCTTTCCATACATCAGTGGGTATGTACAATACTGGCAAAATGTATGCAACAGTTCTGTACCCCAAGTGGCAGATCTGTCTCAAAGTCACATTGGGAAACACTTTACGGTAGCATAATTTTTTGTTTCAGTTAAAGAAATTAAAAAAAAAAAAAAAAAAATCAATGGACCTTTGCTGATTTACAGCATTTAAGGGTTGTAAATTCTTGTGACTTGCAAAATGATGGTGAGGTTTAATATATAGCAGGATAACATGTTTTTAAAATATGTAAATAATATTTCAGAGTTTGTCCATGTATGCTTATGCATGAAGTCTAGCCCTCATGTCAAGCAACTTCTTTTCTAAGTTGCTTAAATTTACTCTTACATCTCAATGGTTACTGAAAGATTTTGCTTAATAACCCACACTAAGTATCCATCCTGTTCTTATCTAGAAATCCAGAGACAAAAGTTGTACCTTCCACCTCACCCCAGTTCCTAGAAAGCTAAAGTTCTTTGATTGTTTGGTAAGAGTGTACTATTGTCGTTCCAACACTGAAAGGATGGCACATGCAGCATTTCCTGTTGCCTTTCAAGGATGCCTTTGGACAACACCAGTTCCTGTTCATCACTAACTAAAGAAATGTATGATTTCCTTCAGATTGACCAGCCAAGTTTAGGAATGCCATCCAGGGATTACTACTTTAATGGGGGCAACTATCAAAGAGTAAGTATTCCTTGTAATTTATTTACTGTGTGCTACTAAACCAACTTTATTACTTATCCCTGTGTTTTGGAAAACTCCAATATATGAAACTTCATGTTATGTAACAATCAGAATTAGACTGTGACATTCATTGCTACATTTTTTTTCCTAATTATGCCAAAATTTTGTAAAGTTTACAAAAGGACCGAACAACTGTATAAATATCAAGCCTCCCAGAACTGGCCAATTCATACAGATGAGAAGGTTATGGGAAAATAAAATCATCATGTTTTATAGCTTAAAACAGTCTCTGATTTTGAAGGATAAGTTCACATTTTCAGTGCAGGTTATTTTGGAGTCAGTTATATCTTCTTCTAAAGCCACTGGTTCTGGATAGTATTTTACAAGGTACTGGAAAGATATGGGAGAAGAATTCTCATACTAGATTATATTTGAACATACAATACCCCAAAATACATTTTATTGAACACCAAAATATTCAGAATTTTTCACATGTTCATTCAGGGGGAAAAAGTTAGTGTTTTACATGGAGCAGCAAAAGCTGTATCAATGGAACAGATACTCAGATAGTAAGAAAGAATCTGCTGCCACTTACTCCCCCCTTTCCCCAAAATTACATGAAAATCATGAGATTATTTTCTAGCTGCTTTTCTCGGCCAATGCTCAGAGCAAAAATGTGAGGGTTTCAGTAAATACATAGAAAGCTGTTGCAAACATAGCCAGATAATTTATCAGTTTCCAAGATGAAAATACTCTTTTCATACGTTTTATTTTCCTCAATTATGTCATACTAACAAAGAGTATTTGCAGCCTAACATCAGACTAATTTTCCTAACACAAATGGAAGGGAATACAGAGAGACAACAATCAGCATTTTAGACTCTTTTGTCTAGTGGTTGTAAAGGCAGATGAAAACATCATTGAGACTAGTTTTCTTCTTTCTTCAATGTATTTGACTATATTCTCATATATAATATAGTCTAAAACAGTCCTGTGAAGTTTTTCTGAGATTGTTTCCACACCTTCTGGACACCTTTATAAACTGCCAATTTCTGTTAATCTGTCTCATGATACAAAACAATCTCCACATAGTTGTGTTGGGAACTGCAGATAGCTACTGGAACTAGGATTCTATTCTACAAGTTTCACCTATATAGTGGCAGGGGGGGGGGGGGAGGGGAACAGTTACAGTAGAAAAGAGATATTTATGCATTGTTGCATGAAAGTCAGACTTAGATTGACTTGTAGGAGGTAGAAAATCAGGTACAGTACATAGATGATCCTAAATTAGCAAAAGAAAACCAGTACTGCTTAATACAGTTTTAATTTGAAGCTATAAAGAAGAAGGGCTAAGGCTGTGTTTTTAATCTTAATGAATAAGTAGGAGACACAACCCCTTTTTATTTGCTATTTAACAGCTCACTTGCCACAGACAATGAACCAAACTCTGATGACCCAAACTCCCCCTGTGCTTAGTCCAGCATCTTTTGGCAAAACTTATACTGAGGCCTGTGGGAGTCTGGCCTGATTAAGGCCTCAGCATTCAGCCTAAAAACACAAATCATCATCGTGTAAGTGCCCAGACTCAATTTCACAACAGTTACTGTATTTATCTGGTTTCCAGGGTCTATGGAGGAAGAAAAGTATGCAAGAAGAATAGGTAGTATTAAGGTTTCCTGCATCAGAGATCAGTGCTCCCTCAGTAGCCAAACATTTATGCCTCAGAACAGGCTTTGAAAAGATCACAGCCATACCCTCCTATTAGAAATAAAGCAAAGATATCACTGGGAACCATCTGAGACAGAACTTTTCTTTCAGACAGTAAACTCTCTGCTTTTACAAGACTTACGGTATTACTTTCAGAGAACTTAAACCTTCCATGTTTACCCTGGTATTTTGGCTAGTAGGGATCACTATTCTCATAGTGTAACTCAAAGGACAGAGCTTTCTCTTTGCTCAAGTAGTAATTCTAATCCAGAATGCTGGAGAGTTGGATTGCACAGGGAAGCAGAAAGTGTTGCTTTTACTATGTATTTTGGGACTGGCAACTGCACTGTAAGGTATTCCAGGATGAACTGAGGTCCTGGATATTGCAGTAGTATCTATTATAGCAGAAAAAAAAAAGATGAGAAAAATGGAGTGGGGAGGGTTGCATTGGAAACAAGGGCAGAGGCTGTGACCCCTGGACCAAACTTCTTCACAGCACACTGTAAAGCTAAAACAACAAAGAATGGTTTGCTGAATGAGAAGTGATAGACAGCAAATCTTTTCTTTGCAATGCCACACACATGTTCTGTTTCTTGTGTGCAGGTGAGAGAAGCTTACCTGCAGTTCATGATCACCATTGCCAAAATGATCCGGGAAGACAAAAATATGTCTAAAGATGATTCCTTTGTCCAAGAGGAAATGACAAAGGTTATGGAGCTTGAAACAGAGATTGCAAATGTGAGTACGAAATCAAGAACTTCTCAGGATGTTGGGAGGGGGGGGGCGAGGGGGAGAGTCTCTTGCTCTTTTGTGCAGCAGTTTTCAACGCAGCAGAAGACTCATGGCCTAGAAGAAAGCAGAGGGAAGACGACTTGTTGTGCCGTGAGCAGTCCAGAAATCAGAGCCTCTGTGTGTATGCCTACTGTATACGCGGCTGCTGCATCTGCTCTAGTCCTACCCATATTTCTTTTTGGAAGTCTTCTAAAGCAGGATAATCTATCTTCTGCCAGACATACACTATGATAACACCAAGGCTAGCTCCTTTGCATCCTTCGAAGTCTATAGCACCCTAAAAATCTCTAGGGAGCTTAGTCTTCCATTCTAAAGAGGACAGAGGGAACCACTTGGCCTAACATACTACTGAAACATTATTGAATCGGCCATCAAATGAGCTTTCTTTTCCAAAATAAACTGTTTTATTTGCATATTATTTGAGTGTGTATACATGCATGCATGCATGCAATTTCAGCCATTGACGCTTGCATCAGTTGATTCTAGTAATAACCTTGTGAATGTCTTCAGGCAACTACCCCAGCAGAAGAAAGGCATGATGTAACCTTGTTGTACAACAAAATGACTCTAAAAGAGCTACAGGAAAAGTTTGCATTGAACGTAAGTGTTTAATGAACAGTCTAATACTTTCAGCCTCCTCTTATTACCATGCCAATTGGAAATGGCTTTGTGAATTTATCAGTGATGCAACAGAGAGATATAAAATCATTCCCATTCGTAATCTTGTCTCCAGAGTCTCTTAAAAAGCATTTTTCTACTGAACAACACTACAACTACATTCAATCCCATAGACTGTACAAAGTCCAGACAGTTACTAAGGCACTTAAACACCTGGCATTGGTATATGTCTTTCTGTCTGCCTAGGAATTTAACTGGACCATCTTCATCCAAGGTGTCATGTCTTCAGTAGATGTTCAGGTTGACCCAGAAGAAGAGGTTGTTGTATATGGCACACCCTATCTGCAAGAGCTGAAAGCAATTATCTCAAAGTACTCAGCAAGGTAAAGAAACCAGAGAATATCCAAGACAAAAGTTACAGAAGTATTGTGGAAATGTAAATTATTGGGCCTGCTTGCTAGTTCTGCCAGAGCTTCTCTGAGAAAAGTGACACCACTTCACTGTAAAACATGGGTAATATCTTCTAAGGTCTTAGGATCCCAAAGTACTGTGGTACTAGGTGTCTCACCTGCTCACATGCTTAGAAAAGGTTAAATAGGAAGGAAAAAAAAATGTGTCACAGGCCTAGCTTTTGTTACACTCTAGAAGGGAAAAAAAATAATAATAAATTAATCCCTGAACAGACATGGTAGTACAGTCCTCCCTCTGGATGTCTCTCTAGTTAGCCAGCCTGTTAAATAAGAACAGTCACCTGTAGATGCTGTGACTGGCAGCAATCAGTTGCTTTCTTACCTCCATTCAAAATAAAGATCCCGCTCTGACTGTCTGCACTAGCATTGCTTTTTACAGGGGATTAAACTCAGCTTTTCTTTCCCACACAGCACCATCCAGAACTACCTCATTTGGCGATTGGTAATTGATCGAGTCAGCAGCTTGAGTCGGCGTTTCAGGGATGCTCGGGCCAGCTACAGGAAGGTATTTCCTCTCTTCCTAAAGAGACCATAGAGCATAGTACTGGAAGAGAGTCCCACAGTCACCAAAACAAGTCCTTGTCAATACAATGACATTATTATGTCACGTAATCCCCAAAGAAATCTAAGAACGGCAATCACAACAACGGAAGCCTTTGTCTTAGGTTAACCTCCTCTTTAGGCAATGATTTAGAAGAGAGATGGGTAGGCAGAATTAATCCTGTGGTGTTTTGTGTTGCAGGCACTTTATGGGACAACGCTGGAAGAAGCCCGCTGGAGGGAGTGTGTGAGTTACGTCAACAACAACATGGAGAACGCAGTGGGAGCAATGTATGTCAGGGAGACATTTGCTGGTGAGAGCAAGAGGATGGTATGTAGTTTACCCTTCATACTATTGTATATCCACAATGTCTACAGTGCCCATTCCCCTCCATCTGATCTCCCAACCTGTTTTGTCTGTTAAAGATACTAATCAGCCAAGAGTCAGAAGGCACAAGAACTCATTTATGATGCTCTTTTAAATGCTGAATACCATGTTTTAGAGCACAGAATTTGGAGACATCATCTTTCAGTAGGAAGCTTTTCACCCCTCCTTAGCTGTGCCTGGGAAAAATAGCATGTAAATAATTAATTTCTTACTGCCTCTCTTTTAGGTCCGAGATTTAATAGATAAGATTCGCGAAGTGTTCATTGAGACTTTAGATGAGCTACAGTGGATGGATGAGGCATCTAAAGAGAAAGCTCATGAGAAGGTCAGAGATAATAAGGAACTTCAGTATTCTGTCATGAATATGAAATCTCTGGAATTCTGTAGCATCACTATTCCCAGTTCCTCTACAAATGAGAGGAAAAAACCTTTGATGTTCACTATCCTGTTATCCATTATCCTATTACATTGTCCTTTTCTTTTTAATCCTTTGTTAGCTCACATATATTTTTATTTCCTTTAATGAGTCTTGTGAACCATGTTATAAATGAGGAAAGAAGATTACACACAATGCATTGACTAGAATGACAACTGAATACAATGCAAACCCCTGAAGAAAACTTTTCAAACTTTTCATTGACTTTAGGACCATCAGCACTGTTCCAATAGCAAACGAGGGTTAAGCCCAATTCCTGTTGGATGGTACTGTAGGGTCTGCAAGTCTGCCATAGTGGCTGGACACCAGGAGATGAGGGGAAGACTGTATGTTCCATATTTAAAAAGAAAGTCTCACTAGGCAATAGGGTGCATTTGAACGTGGTCTTTAAATATTTACATCCAGTTTCTTACAAACAGGTGAACAACAGCAATAAAGAATTTGAACTATTATATGTATTGAAACATAAAAAAACCCCACACACAACAAAAACCCCACAATTAAGAGGAAACATTGAACTCTTTTCTTCTAGGCAATGGCAATTAAAGAACAAATTGGCTATCCAGATTATATTTTGGAAGATCAGAATGAAAAACTAGATCAGGAATATGCCAATGTAAGTATGCTGTGCATACCTCAATAAGTACCTCAGTGTAAAAGCCTAGACTTATTTCTTGCCACTTGGAATACTTACGCCTGTGCAACTGTCATTTCCAAGTGACTGGACAGCATACAAACTTGATTGTGTTGAACATTTTTTAAATAAATGCATGCAGAGAGCTAACTATTAAGTGATACTTTGCAATCAAAGCATTTTTTCGAAGATACATCCAGTGGCATGAGGAATTCCCCTTTCCACACAGCTTGCTAATATACTTGGATATCTGTTTCTTTAGTTAAACTTCAGTGAACACAATTACTTCGAAAACATTCTGGAAAATCTGAGAGCTGGAGCCCAAAAGAGCTTGAAAAAGCTTCGAGAGAGAGTTGACCAAGACATGTAAGTTTCCAGACTGCATGCTACAGACACAATCTAAATTCTGAAATAATTGTTATCGTGTTTAAGTCATATGCTGTGGATAGCCAAGAATGCTTATGTCTGAGATCTTTTAAGTTATTTCCTGGAATTAAACAAGTAGTTCATTGCCTCTTGTGGTAGGAATTTATACAGTTCTCTTGGAATCCCTCTAATCCTTCATCAAGCCGCTTCACATTCAGATACTACGTTGAAGCTACTTAACACAAAAGCAGCGACAGATCTTTCTGACAACTCAGCAAGGAAGAGATGAGATAAGCAGTATCATGGAACTTCTAAAAATTTATAATCAGGGGAAAAAAGCTTAAGAAATTCTGGCCAGAATTCTGTTGGAAATACGCCCAATCTTGGAGAAGTTGAGCACCAGATCTAATTTATGTCCATTTCCAGCAGATTACTTCACACCGCACCTAGTAAAGTATAAATGTATTTTTCAGGAAATGCCTGTCATAGGTGCAGGTTTGGCTGCTTCACGAGCCCTTCTTTGACTCCATGAATGCATCCCGAGTAAGTCTCGGGTCTTAGCCTGTATTGCCCTAGCTCTTACCTCACAGTTCTCTACTCCTAGGCAAATCCTCAGCTAGTGCTAGCCCTAAAACAAATCAGAAGCAGCACGTTTGTAAATTGTTACTAACAGCTCCAAGGTGAGCAGTTGGTGTCACTACCCAGCAAGAAGCATTACTACACAACATCACCAGGACGACCCCTCCAGTCCTTCAAGTGCAGTTGAGCTCCTGCCAAGTCCATGACATGGATACATCCCAGAAGCCCTGGCTTGCACGTTCAGCAGCAAATGCCTTGGAATATCAGCTGATTTCCAGAGCTATGAGCTCGCCAATCTGAACTTTTAATAGTCCAGTTAGCGGTGTTGGAGGTGTCCAGCTCAGGAAGCTGTCTGGCAAAGCTACTGCTGAATACATTAGTGACAGATACACTGTAATGGAAGGCAGAAGTAAGGAAGCTAATACCAACTTGATGTGTTGTTCACTAGTAGGCTTCCAGCCTGTGTGATGCTGGAAGAGAACGTATCGAGAGAAAGGAAAGTAGATTCCAGTAAGAATTTCAAACACCTCTTCACAAAATGTAAAATAACACAGAGTTATTAATAACCAAGCAAACAAACGCTCTCCAAAGGGAAGCATTAGTCAAATCAATTGTTGTAAAGCCTATTCATTTTTTCTATCCCTCTTCCTGTAAAGTGGTTTTAACTCAAAATGCGAGCACACAATGCAGACACTTAGAAACCTCCAGTGAATTACTGATGAATAATTCACCAAGGGAGTTTTCTGATCAGTCAGCTAAATAACAGAGCATTTTTTCCTGTTTCCTCATTTCTGAGGAATCAGTCATAGTGCTCTTCATAGCAAAAAATTCTTGTACAGCATTGGTGTTCTTAATCCACAAACTGTGTTATAGATGACTGCTGCCTTTCGTAGTCTGTCTACAGAGACGGACGGTAGCCCTTTAGCCAAAATTCCCAATACCTCTGCTCATTGTAGGCATGGTTTAAAGCACATTGTGGGAACCTTTTCATGGATTCATGAATTAGGCCTTCTTTGCCTGGTAGTTGGATGATATATGAAATACCAATAATTTGCACCTTTTCCATAAAGAACTACATCTTTCTAGTGATGTCTCTCCAGCAGCTTGAAGGGTTTCCCCAAGGAGACATAAACCCACTTATCACTCCAGATCACTGTTTAATTAAACTGAAGGAGAGTATATAATATTGCTGATAGTCACTGCAATTAAGAAAATTAGCCATTGTTCATAATCATAGCCTTCTTGGGGTGTGTTGGGGGGTGTTAGTTATTACAAGCTACCTAGCCAGCTACAAACATTTCGTGTCAGGCATGCCAAGGAGAACTTATGGACCAAGAGTGTGTCTTCCCAACAGACTGGCCTTCAGAGCAAAACTGTTTTGAAAAATTCTCAAGTACCCCCTCAAATTCAGGAACAATTCCTACTCCCTCTCTATGCATGTGTTACACGCAGGTTCATGGCAATATCGGCACAACCCATTGCTACCACTTATTCCTGTTCCCAGGCTGTGATGAGCAGTCCTCTATTCTGTTAGTCCAGAACAACCAACTTTTCAAAAACTGAAAGATAGAGACGTGCTGTATTTCTTAAGCAGGAAATTTGATTCCATTCCAGAGCAGCCCACAAGTAGTTATGTCAAATTAACAGCAGATAGAGCAACTAGGGCATCACAAGATACTATAAGGACAAGAGATGTGGGAAGAAGAATATCTTAGGCTGAGGCTGCTGAATACTTATCATGAGTTCATGGCTTCAGACTGTTATTGCGTGGTTCATTAGGGCAGGGTGACTAGGAGTGTATGTCAGAGGTAGAAGAGAAGGGGAGAAGAAAGAGAAATACAAAGAATAAAAAGTTATCAAGCTATTGGAGAGAGTTTCCAGGAGTAGCCTACTTAAAAATTACTTCTCAAAGTTAACACTCATTATCTATGAAATATTGGACTCCAACTGCAGACATTTATATATCTGTCTGTGATTATTCAGTTTTAATTTTTCAAAGTTTGGTCTTAACTTCCAATTTGAGTAACTGCCTTCTGCTGCTCAAAATGTCCTCTAAATGCTAATTTTCTTTTGAATGTAATCTATTCGTTTCTTCTCAAGCTCAGATAGCGTAGAGATGAGCTGGTAAACAGTTACCACGTTCCACTCCAATGTGGCTGTTCAATATTCAAGAGCAAAAGCATTTCTCACTTTAACTTGGCATTGTTTTGGATGAAAGGTGCCCATCGATGAGACACCAGTTAGTTCCTGGTATTAGTATTTCTTTACAGCTGTGTTCAATGGCACCTTTCTTCCCTACCTCAATCCTTTCCTTATATGCAGCCTGCGTTTTTTTAACAATAGTAATTCAATAAGAAGAATGTCTAAAAAAAAAAAGTCATGACTAACTTTGTGTGCAACATTTATTTTTAGATGGATAATTGGAGCTGCAGTGGTCAATGCATTCTATTCCCCCAATCGGAACCAGATAGGTAGGTTTACAACAGTTTTAAACAGCTGCATGGAACTAATTAATCATTTTTTGCACCACAAGGGTGCAGGTCTGCTATCCAGAGGCAAACCTGCCCGTGCCCTTATGGAAATTCCGGGCAAGGCAGACAGGCTGTCCTTTTCAAGCAGTCGCTTTGTTGATGAATATTCAGCTCCCCCCCCCCCCCCACTTGGCAGGCATAGTTTATATACTGTAATTGGAACAGCCTTATGTTTGAAAGCCTGAGACAGTAACTGCCACTATATGAGTGCCAGCTTCAGAGACCAGAGAATGCTCACAGTGTGTTCTGGGCTGTTTGTACTCATGTTTCCACATTCCTGATAAACACATGGGCAGCTCTCCAGTTTGCTATCTGTACAGATGGTACTGAAATTATATTGATAAGAGGCATACCAGACTAAAGAAACTTGCCTCTGCTTACAGAACGTCAGATCTGCGAGTTTTTGCAGAGTTGCTAGGCTGACCTTTCTTGCTCTTAGCAGAAAAGATGATCTTTGGACTTAAGACAACGTGAACCTGTTTGGCTCCCCATGCTTGCTGATCTCTGAGCTGGTGCAGGTGGCCAGAAGGTCAGGTTAAGCCTGCAGATGCTGTAGAGTCTTTGCTGAATTCTGAGCACCCCAAACAGGAGAGGAACCAAATAATTTCTACTAAGTAGCACTTATTCAAATTCCCTGACTGCCAGGAAGCTCTACTACCCAAATACTGCCAAATACCATAAGAGGAAAAAATCCATGACTTTTTTAGGCCAGACAGCAACTGTATCCTGCTCACAGGGCAAAGGCCAGCAATGGAAAACAACCCAACCAACCAGCAGTCACAAGGGAAAACTTGGCTAAAAACAGAAACATTCAAAGTGTTCATAATTTAGCCCTCTAACCTCATCAGAAAGAACTGTTTTCCATTTGTGTAGCTTCCACTTACCTCCATATTGTAGGTACAGTAAAAGCTGTGACTAGTCCTTCAGCCATAGCAGGGTACTCCTTCAGCTTGCCCATACCTGTGATTTTGGAGCTATACCCATAGTCAAGCTCAGGCTCCCTATTTATCCAGAGTGGTTTTACGCTGATCGTAATCAGCTGTGAGCCAGCTTTCCAGGCAGGGAACCCAGGTCTTAAAGAAGACTGGTTCCTCTACAACTTTGCCCTTACAAGTAATGTAGAAGTAACTGGTTTAAGCAACTTGAAGATGAATATGCAAGCCAAATATCCAAGCATAGCTACCCACAATAGTGCAGATGTCAGTTAGATTCTGTTTCTTCCTGTCTGTAGTTTGAGGAAAATAATTTTCCACACTACTTTCAGTTTCCTGCTTCTGTCTTACTGCAGTCTGTCTTACATATTTCTCCCCAAAATTGTATGGATAAAACCTTCTATATAGTCAAAAAGGTTTTTGTCTCTAAATGAAATATTTGCTATATAATTTCAGTATCTCACTCCTTAGAAAGTAATTGCTTGCAGTCTTAATTCCTCTAGAAGTGTATATGCTTTTCATCTTGTGTACATGGGATGAAGCCTAAATCCCATTGTTTCTATAAAAGGCTTTTGCCAGGAGACTGAAGGATAGACCTCCTACCGCCCGCCCCGCCCCAGACTGGCATCCAAGTGCACTTGGTGGTCTGTAGGAATTACTACTGTGCATGTTTTACACACCGAGTATTGTTGGTAATCAGCATATGATTGCTAACCCTTCTTTAACAAAAATAAAGCAGTAAAACATCCATTAGTTCCCCTATAAAATGGCTCTAAAACACAAACTGTACTTACCTCCAAGAGGCAGTTACTAAACATTTGGTTCTTGACTTACTGCAGCATACATTATAGATCAAATTAGGCTAAAGTTGAAATGTAAATGATGCTTGGTTCTCAAACCAGGAGATACTGTAGTTGTGGATGTGCTAAATTAAACCTTTATTAACTTGTCATTTTCCATTTATCAAGAGAAACAATTTCACATGAGGAGGCATGATGTTGTTTCTAATCATTTTATATTTTATGTTCCTTCCTGATCCTTAAACCAAGCAAACAATCTGTCTGCAAAGCATGCAAAAATAAAGCTACCTTACAGTATCTCCCTCTCTCTTCCCCTCTGCAGTTTTTCCTGCTGGGATTCTACAGCCCCCCTTCTTCAGCAAACACCAACCACAAGCCCTGAACTTCGGAGGGATCGGGATGGTTATTGGGCATGAAATTACTCACGGGTTTGATGACAACGGTGAGAAGATAACTGAGAAAATATTATTCTTTCAGTTGCACTCATTGCACTGTAAGAAATTAAAAGTTACACACTGCTGTGACTGAAGTATCCGTGTGCACACGATCACATACCCGCTAAGTGACTATCTGGGAGCAATACAGGCACGCTATTAACATTCTGTTGAACATTTTGCAGTGAGTGTTTCATGAACTAAGCAGGTCACACAAGAAGCAAGCAGATGTTAAAAATAAATTGAGTCAATGACAATTCTCAGGAAAAGCTGTTACTTTTACAGCACCGTCAGATTGGAAATACAATGCAAGCAGATATGCTGGCTCCTAAAGTAAAATGAAATCTGTGAACTACATTCTTGGGATAGAAGAGCTGTCAGTAGTGTCTTGAAATCACAGGAGACTTTTTTTTTTCAGCACGAACATTTTAAATAAGTTGACTTTATTATCTTTCTAGAATGCTACGTAAAATAGTTTTGGGCAAAAACTCACTTCTGATACCGTAATTTTTTACACATGGGTTTTCTTCAGTGTGTTTTTTTTATGTTAATTAAGCTTGTGCAGATTACACATAAGCACACAATACAGCCTCAGAAGTCTAGCTCCATAGCAAATAAAAAGCATGCTCTAGCCAGAGAGCTGAGAACACAAACACCAGAACTGGAATTCCAGCTTTCTCCTGCTGTGGCAAAGTAATTAATTCTCTATGAACCTCAGTTCTGTCACACGGACACACAGAATAAGCACCTTAGACACCTCAAAGGTGGTGGTAAGTTTTGTTACGTGATCTCTGCATAATCCAATTTGAAATAAAACTAGGCCTTAGTGCTACAGGTGAAGTCAGGGCTGCTGACTGAACAGGAAATCACGGAATAATAGAGAATAGAGATGAAAGGACCACAATTCATCTTGTTCGTTCCCTTGTGCCAAAGGAGAATCAACTGTGGCAAAAACTTTTCTGATAAATCTCTGTAGCAGAGACCATCTGAACCAAAGGAGGAAAGAGGGGAGGAAGTGCAGCTCTAACATTAAAAAGAAACAAGTGCTACACTGGAAGAACGGTTGCCCTAACATACTCTCACTCAAAACTTTCCTTTTTTCTTGGATTTTCATACAGGTAGGAATTTTGATAAAGATGGAAATATGTTTGACTGGTGGAGCAATTTCTCAGCTATGCGTTTCAAGGAGCAGTCTCGTTGCATGGTTTATCAGTATGGGAACTACACATGGGAGCTGGCTGGAGGACAAAATGTAAGTAAAGACAACCATTTCCACACCACTGGCTTTTTATACAGAAAAATAATGAATGTAAATGGAGAATCTCTGCAGATGATAAACATAAAACCCCTCATACTACAGGATAATTGTTCTGGAAATAAGATGCAAGGGTTGTTTCTTGTAAATTAGGGATACTAGCGTAGCCTAGAAAACCAGCAATATCTGTGTGCAGTTGGGTTAATGGTGAACTGGGCCCACGTGTGCTTTTGCTGCCAGACCCTATGAGGTTTTCTTTTTGCAAGGGGGAGGGAAATCTCGTGTTTGCTACCGTATTTTGCCAGTCCTGCTAGCATATGTTCTGCCCAGCAGCCCATATTCTGTTCATGTTATGTTCCTATATATTCTCTCTATTCTAATCTACAGCTTTTACCCTATTAATTTTTTATATTGATTCTCTCCTTCCTTTTCCCCAGCACAAAGTCACTGCTTCCTTCTGTTCCAGACATGACTGTCTGTCTGTGATGTATGACTGCGCTTCAGCTTGTGGTTCTTAGGGTTGCTAACATTACTGACTATAGAGTAAATGAATGATTATTCTTTTACAGGTCAGTGGAATAAGCACATTAGGAGAAAATATTGCAGATAATGGAGGAGTCCGACAGGCTTATAAGGTAACTTTCAAATATACTGGGAGTTAACTTTACCCCTTCAGCAATGGCGTTACCTACTCTGTCATAAAAAATTTGACAATTAACATGTTATTACCATATTCAAAAACTTAAAGCCTTGGTTATATATCTAGAAGCTTATTTCCCCATAGATCCAATCACAGTTTAGGATTGCTGGCATTTTTGCACCCAGGAGAAGACCACCTAATTCTCCTAGCTATACTTCAGTGTACTACAATGCTTGATGCTGCATATTTCTGTCTCGGGTAAACAAGGGCAATGTTCATAAATAGGCACAGTATTAGCTAGGAAAAAGGTAAAACACCCTCTATTTTCTAAAGCCCTTAATTCTGAAAATGGCAGCTACAACTTCAAACGGCTTGTCACATGGCAACAGAGCACTAATTTCTTGGCAACACACTTTGGTGGTATTATGAAGCAGAGCAACTGTTTCTTCCAAGTTTCTTTCTCTCATGCTTTTCATCTTTCATCTCAAAAGTGACACGTCAGGTAGGACATGAAAAGAATAGATGAAAATACCATCTCTTTCCCAGGAGGGATACAGATCAGATCTACGAAAATACCTGTCTCTAAAAGCCTAGCTCCTTTTATTGCTTGCTTTATGTGTTTTCTAAGCTTTAGGAAAATGACACAAAGAAGTCCCTTCTACCTTGCTGCTATTTATTTTTCATGCAGCTAGAAAGCAGAATAAAAATGCAAGGACTGATAATCTCAGAACTGCCTGCCTCTTTCCAAGGTAAAAGGTTGCTTCAACCAGTCAGTTATTTTCAAAAAAAGAGAAATGCAACTGATATATCAGAGCACTACCTCCATGCTGTGGTTGAAAAACTACATTGTTCAGCATGGTTTTACCTGCTACAAACACTATTGCCTATTGCCTTATTTCTCCCACTCTACCAGGGGAAGTCAGCTTCCAGACTCAGGGAAGTCCAATATCTTTAATTCTCCAGGTTTACAAACCGTCGTTATGAATAGGAACACAATATTTATCAGCACAAAGGCTCTTTCCATATGGAGCTCAGGTGTCAGCACGGAATATTCTTTTCTATGAATAATCCTAAAAGATGTCATGGTAAAACTTTTTCTCTCTGGTGTTTTGAATACAGCAACAGTTAAGGGTGTTTATAGAAGAATATCCTGAATTTTCAGAAGTCTAAACTGACGATTCCGACTCTGAGGGATACCATTAAAATTAATTACTTCGTTAAAGTGAATATGTACTTTGTTCTAAAAGCTATTACAAATGTGGAAGAGTCATGTGGTATGACATAAACTGCCTGCACACAGAATCCTCTGATGTTCTGTGGTGCTGAATGTATTTTTACCCTCAGCTCTACCTTTTATGTTTTGTGTGCTTTGGGACTATCTCAGCAACTAAGAGGATAAGGTAATAGAACGTTGGAAATTAACCAGCGTGAGGACACATTAACTTGTCTCCATTATGTCAATATACCTAAAAAAAGAAAATTGGCCAATTAATGTGTAACAATAACAGGTAATGGATTTAACATTGAGCAAGGTTATTATCTGCTATTTTATGAGTAGTAACCTGAAGAAAGAAAAATCATCACTACAGAACTGTGGAGAAGACTTAACACTTTATCTCCAGATACAAATTCCTATAGAAAAAGTCACGTGAAAGCTGATGATTTTACCTCAAACTGCAGTCATGGGCATTCAGTCTCTGTAGCATTATTGATTTAATATATATCACCAGCTATACTTAAACATGATATTAGCAGTCACACTTTGTCATGCTTGCTTGCTGAGACACAATAGCAAACTGTCTGTCAGGGTAGCGGCATACCTTCCGCTAAAACAGTGTGTGCCACCTCGCGGAAGAAATTCAGAATAGATCTCCAAGTGACTCTGTAAAGAACACGCACAGTGCGTTCATTGCAGGGAAGCTCAACTGGCCAACAATAACTACTGCTCTAAAACTCCACTTCCGTATAAGAGTTTGGTATTTTTTCCCATTTTATAATAGTTTTCAGTTCAGAGATTACTGTACTGAAGAAGCTGAATGCAAATTACCTGCGTTTCATTTTTTTACTAGAAAAGTCAACGGAGTACTTATGATGACAGCTTTTTCATAAAATTAGCTGTACTATTTGTATTAGAAAGATAAAAACTACAAAAATACAGAAGGGAAGACATGTTGGATTCACATACATTGTGACTAAAATCTCTCACCCCAAAATAACATTCAAAATACCTATCATGCCTGCATAGGCCATCCTGCTGCTTCCCTGAATTGAATCTATGATCATTTCTAGGCCTACTTAAAATGGCTGGAATGGGAAGGGAAGGAGCCAAAGTTGCCTGGACTGAATCTGTCCCACAAACAGCTTTTCTTCCTCAACTTTGCCCAGGTAAGAACACTTGGATGCAGCCACTACCTGCTGCGTGAAAGTATAAATTAGGTGATCCTAAAGGTTAGAAAGCTCTACTTGGGACAGTGATTGACCGTTGACTGCACTCACTCATCAAAAGGTCCTCAAGACAGACGTGAAAAAGATGGTTTAGTGATTAAAAGAAAGAGTTTTCAATAACTTTTCTGAGGGCACTACTGAAACGTGCTGGAGTGAGGATACAGAGAAACAGGGCATCTACCAACAAAAAGGCGTGTCAGACAACAACTCATGGGAGACAACAACTTTCAAGAGCTTGCCATTTCATGTAAATATTGGTTCCAATAACATCTATGAGAAAACTCCTTTTGCTTTCCATACAGACAGGGTTTCATCCATTTTTTAATATGTGCTGGAGAAAACGGAACGCCTGAGAAATACCAAGCCAGCAGCCCTGAAATAGGAATACATATTCAGATCACAGATGTTGCTACAGATTCCATTTATTTTCCTCTATACCACTTTATTACAATGCAGAAACAATTAAGTTTGCCGAGTTGAATTTCACCCTTCAGCCTGGATCAGAAACTCCCATATGTTTACACTCTTAGAGTAACAAACATTTATCAGTAGGTCAAATATTTGACAGTAGGCCAACACACTTAGCGTTGTGCCTCAGACTCTTGGTCTTCAGCTCATCTGTTTGAAGAAACACATGGGTGAAATCAAGGGCTAATATATCTATCCCAAAGCATCAGATCTTGATCGAAGAACTCAATAAAACAAAAACTAATTAGTAAATAATTGTATCTATTCTGCCTTCTCTAGAAAATGTACTCCAACTATATTGTAACAAATTGGGATGGCTCTTAGGAAAAACTTTGAAAAACAGTGAGAAGGTCCCCAAACTGAATTCCCTTTAATACTGACCCACTAATGATTAATCCTCCTTGTCTAGGTTTGGTGTGGTTCTTACAGACCAGAATATGCTAGCCAGTCAATAAAGACAGATGTTCACAGCCCTCTGAAATACAGGTGGGTTTTACGAACTGATTTATTAATTGATAACTTACTTGGTTCAACCCATTGCACCAATACGGCACAAAAGGAGAGAGTGGCTCATTGCTAGCAGCTATATTCTAACAGACAAGATAAATCTAGACTAACTTGGCCGAAGTTCTCCCATAGCTTGTAGGACACTGCTGAAGAGTACATTCCTTTACTTGGCCTGGTAAATTTGCCAATCTATAGAGAATGGACCAGAACTCACTTACTACGTGCTCTGTTTGTTCTAGCATTTCATTAGTCACATTAGCTATATTTTTCTTGCATAAAGTATCCCATATTCTGAGACTGTAATTGAGTTACGAGGCTCTAAATCACTTTATGGACGTGGCTTTCTGTTTTCCAGAGCAACAATCTCCGTGCACTGTATCCATGTAAATAAGTTCCTTCTCTTTGTTTAGGGTGATGGGATCTTTGCAGAACTTTGAAGCATTCTCAGAGGTGTTCCACTGTAAAAAAGGCACAGCCATGCATCCTGCAGAGAAATGCAGAGTGTGGTAACCAAAAAGAACACTGGCGAGAATGACACATACTCTGGTGACACAACAAACAGTTCTTGCCAATGACGTGCCTGATGTTCTCCCAGTCAGTCACAGCCAAGGCTAATGGTGCAACTACTGTAGTGAGAATCAAGGAAACTACAGCACTAAAGCTCGTACAGTTCCACTGGGAAGTACACAGGTATCTCAGTGACTGATGGGCTGTGCTGAGAGCCACAGTATGCTCCAGAACACAAACGACTGTTTCAAATGACGTCCTGACTGTTATTAAGATACCGCATCAGGGTTACAAAGACTAATTCTTAAATAAAAAAGAAAACCAACGAACAACTATATATCTATTTTTCAGAAAGGAACAATAATTTTAATATGTCTTACAACTATGCCTTCTGAGACTCAGCAAACCTGTTTGAGATGCTTCACTGAACCGTTTTCCAGTATTCTGATTCCGTTTCTGGTGCATTCTTCCCAAATTCAGGTTAGAGCTAGTTTAAACTCTCGTGCTGTCTGTATACTTGCACTTTGATTACCGCTTTGTTGTAAGAGATTGCTATTTGTCTCGGTATGTTACACAGTGAGCTGTATGTTTAAGATGCCTGTTGGCTGCTAACTTAATGCAAAGCTGCACTCTCCTACTGCACTTGAGTTCCTCTGCTCCAAAGAACAACTGTAACATGACCTTAAAGTGAGGTATTACTAGATAGAAAGATCACATTTTTAGGAGTACAAATTCTGTCGTTATGGTTAAAATTACAGGGTCCCTTCCTTCAGAGATATATTTAAAATGATGCTTATTCTTGTAGAAAGCGTATAAAATATTTTTTGCCAAATAGCAAATGTGTATCCATGGAAACAATTAAGCTGTTTTTGATCCTGTGCCTTTTCATTTTGCCATAGGCTATTTTTCAGTATTTACACTTGAAAATGTAACAAGTATTAATTTTAATAAAAAAAAAACCACAGTAGCCAATTCAGCAAGCATTTTACTATAGCGAGTTCTGGGTGGCTTTCCTCAGTAAGCATTCTAATATAATGATAATATTTTAAACTGCCAACACTTAATAGTGAATTTTAAATATTCTTTCAGCAAATGCTTTTCCTTCTAGCACAGAAATCACTGTAAAGCAAGATAGTAACTACTAGTGCTTAGCTTACCAAGTGCCAAATCCCACTATTCATTTGCTTCACGGATTTCATTAGCACACCACTAGCAAAAGGTTTGATTATCTAAACAACAGGGAAGGAAATGAAAATCAGCTTTGCTATAAGAGATGGCCCACTGAATTATTCTGGCCATATGACAGTAAGAGCTGGCTAAATCACTGAATGAAACCCTCCTGACTTTTGCATGAATTTCACCGGCTAAAGTGAAATCAGTCTACAGATAAATTCCTGCTTTGACTGTAGCTGAGAATATATAGTTCAATTACATTTTAGTTCTATCTTAAAAGTAATCTCAGAAGGTAACTTTCTCAGAGAATCAGTGCTACCTCAGGGATTAACCACTCTTCTCTGCCCTTCAAAGTCTGAGAGTTAAGTACAGAAGGGAGAATAAGTAGTAAGAGGGTTTAGTTGCAATTTTATTTGTTTAATCTCTCTTCAAAAGACTAAGAGCAGACTGTTCAGCACCCACCGGTAGAGTTGCCTACTGCAAACAAATACTACACAACGGATAGAATCTGGCTTTCAACACAGTTAATAGTAATAGAAAAAGTGGTTCACATGTAATTCTTTTCTGTGCTCTGAAATAGGATACATATTCAGATCACAGATGTTGCTACAGATTCCATTTATTTTCCTCTATACCACTTTATTACAATGCAGAAACAATTAAGTTTGCCGAGTTGAATTTCACCCTTCAGCCTGGATCAGAAACTCCCATATGTTTACACTCTTAGAGTAACAAACATTTATCAGTAGGTCAAATATTTGACAGTAGGCCAACACACTTAGCGTTGTGCCTCAGACTCTTGGTCTTCAGCTCATCTGTTTGAAGAAACACATGGGTGAAATCAAGGGCTAATATATCTATCCCAAAGCATCAGATCTTGATCGAAGAACTCAATAAAACAAAAACTAATTAGTAAATAATTGTATCTATTCTGCCTTCTCTAGAAAATGTACTCCAACTATATTGTAACAAATTGGGATGGCTCTTAGGAAAAACTTTGAAAAACAGTGAGAAGGTCCCCAAACTGAATTCCCTTTAATACTGACCCACTAATGATTAATCCTCCTTGTCTAGGTTTGGTGTGGTTCTTACAGACCAGAATATGCTAGCCAGTCAATAAAGACAGATGTTCACAGCCCTCTGAAATACAGGTGGGTTTTACGAACTGATTTATTAATTGATAACTTACTTGGTTCAACCCATTGCACCAATACGGCACAAAAGGAGAGAGTGGCTCATTGCTAGCAGCTATATTCTAACAGACAAGATAAATCTAGACTAACTTGGCCGAAGTTCTCCCATAGCTTATAGGACACTGCTGAAGAGTACATTCCTTTACTTGGCCTGGTAAATTTGCCAATCTATAGAGAATGGACCAGAACTCACTTACTACGTGCTCTGTTTGTTCTAGCATTTCATTAGTCACATTAGCTATATTTTTCTTGCATAAAGTATCCCATATTCTGAGACTGTAATTGAGTTACGAGGCTCTAAATCACTTTATGGACGTGGCTTTCTGTTTTCCAGAGCAACAATCTCCGTGCACTGTATCCATGTAAATAAGTTCCTTCTCTTTGTTTAGGGTGATGGGATCTTTGCAGAACTTTGAAGCATTCTCAGAGGTGTTCCACTGTAAAAAAGGCACAGCCATGCATCCTGCAGAGAAATGCAGAGTGTGGTAACCAAAAAGAACACTGGCGAGAATGACACATACTCTGGTGACACAACAAACAGTTCTTGCCAATGACGTGCCTGATGTTCTCCCAGTCAGTCACAGCCAAGGCTAATGGTGCAACTACTGTAGTGAGAATCAAGGAAACTACAGCACTAAAGCTCGTACAGTTCCACTGGGAAGTACACAGGTATCTCAGTGACTGATGGGCTGTGCTGAGAGCCACAGTATGCTCCAGAACACAAACGACTGTTTCAAATGACGTCCTGACTGTTATTAAGATACCGCATCAGGGTTACAAAGACTAATTCTTAAATAAAAAAGAAAACCAACGAACAACTATATATCTATTTTTCAGAAAGGAACAATAATTTTAATATGTCTTACAACTATGCCTTCTGAGACTCAGCAAACCTGTTTGAGATGCTTCACTGAACCGTTTTCCAGTATTCTGATTCAGTTTCTGGTGCATTCTTCCCAAATTCAGGTTAGAGCTAGTTTAAACTCTCGTGCTGTCTGTATACTTGCACTTTGATTACCGCTTTGTTGTAAGAGATTGCTATTTGTCTCGGTATGTTACACAGTGAGCTGTATGTTTAAGATGCCTGTTGGCTGCTAACTTAATGCAAAGCTGCACTCTCCTACTGCACTTGAGTTCCTCTGCTCCAAAGAACAACTGTAACATGACCTTAAAGTGAGGTATTACTAGATAGAAAGATCACATTTTTAGGAGTACAAATTCTGTCGTTATGGTTAAAATTACAGGGTCCCTTCCTTCAGAGATATATTTAAAATGATGCTTATTCTTGTAGAAAGCGTATAAAATATTTTTTGCCAAATAGCAAATGTGTATCCATGGAAACAATTAAGCTGTTTTTGATCCTGTGCCTTTTCATTTTGCCATAGGCTATTTTTCAGTATTTACACTTGAAAATGTAACAAGTATTAATTTTAATAAAAAAAAAACCACAGTAGCCAATTCAGCAAGCATTTTACTATAGCGAGTTCTGGGTGACTTTCCTCAGTAAGCATTCTAATATAATGATAATATTTTAAACTGCCAACACTTAGTAGTGAATTTTAAATATTCTTTCAGCAAATGCTTTTCCTTCTAGCACAGAAATCACTGGAAAGCAAGATAGTAACTACTAGTGCTTAGCTTACCAAGTGCCAAATCCCACTATTCATTTGCTTCACGGATTTCATTAGCGCACCACTAGCAAAAGGTTTGATTATCTAAACAACAGGGAAGGAAATGAAAATCAGCTTTGCTATAAGAGATGGCCCACTGAATTATTCTGGCCATATGACAGTAAGAGCTGGCTAAATCACTGAATGAAACCCTCCTGACTTTTGCATGAATTTCACCGGCTAAAGTGAAATCAGTCTACAGATAAATTCCTGCTTTGACTGTAGCTGAGAATATATAGTTCAATTACATTTTAGTTCTATCTTAAAAGTAATCTCAGAAGGTAACTTTCTCAGAGAATCAGTGCTACCTCAGGGATTAACCACTCTTCTCTGCCCTTCAAAGTCTGAGAGTTAAGTACAGAAGGGAGAATAAGTAGTAAGAGGGTTTAGTTGCAATTTTATTTGTTTAATCTCTCTTCAAAAGACTAAGAGCAGACTGTTCAGCACCCACCGGTAGAGTTGCCTACTGCAAACAAATACTACACAACGGATAGAATCTGGCTTTCAACACAGTTAATAGTAATAGAAAAAGTGGTTCACATGTAATTCTTTTCTGTGCTGCACCTCAGATGACTATATATACAGACTATGCTATATATACAGACCTCTATAAGGGAATGCAACCTGAACTGCAGTTTGGTTTTGTGTTTATTTCAGCTATGTCTATTACCTGAGGAGAACTGCACTTGACCACATTAATTCTAACAAAGATCCTGATTCAAGGCAGGTTAAGTGGGAGGAAAGGATATTTGTTTCAGATGGGAATTGTTGGATTCACATCTATAAGTGCCTGAAAACCTTAGGATTGACCCACACTAAAAAAAACAAACAAAAAAAAATGGTGACTAGGAGAGTGCACTAACAAGCTCTGAGAGCCCTCTTAAAAAAAAAAGTTACAATATTCTACACTAGGATTAAGCTCCCCTTTAAGTGACTTAAAAGCCCTTAAAGGAAACCCGGAGGTACAGAAGCTGGCACGTATGTGTCCTGCTCAGGCCTCCATACAGTTTGAAGTGCTTCAGATGTTAAAACTTTTGGTTCTACTGAGACACATAATGAGATGTTTATAAGGTACTGTGTGTTCCTGGTACTTTACCTCAGAGCTGGGTTAGTATAGAATACAAACCCCCCCAAATTCACAGTAGTATTACTATACTTAATGCTTCTCCCTTTTGGTAACTTCCAGTTCTCTCTGATACTGAACACCAAAACCTTTTGAAGTCAGACTTAATAATGCTACTAAAACACAACAGAAGCAATTTCATATAATATCATAGTAAATCATCCATGCGACTCGAAGATTAACAAAGAGGATACAAGATAAGCTAGTTAGGAGGTAACACAGACTCTGTAAAGCACAGATGGACAGTAACTCATTTAGACATGAAGGTTCAACTCAAACTATGACTAACTGAGCTTTTGGCTCCATCCAGGACTAGAACCATGTAGTTAGATTGCAGATGTAGCAGCGGATTGGTGAGATTCTGATGTCCTAAAAGGCTTCATGCCAATTATATTATTTCTGCCTACCATCATTAGAGAGGTAAGAGGCCAATATATCAGTGATCTGGTGAGAATTATGAAGCCTATGTTCTGCATAACAACAGTGCTTTAAGATGTTTGCAACTTGATGTTGAAGACAAGCCTAATTATGTTCCATTCTGTTTTTTATTCGCTTTGAAAGAGTTTTTGCTCTTGAATTAACCAAATGCTCATGTCCCATGCCTTGTTAAAACTGACTGTCATACAGACTAAGTTTGTATTTGCTCCTGGATTGGATTGTGCATGTAATAGGCTAGGGACTTTATTTTCCTAAATTGCTCTTTATCTGTATAAAACCAGACATGATCTACAGCCCTCCTTAGTATGAAATGCTGTCCAAGCTTTGTTCTGGCCATTAAGTGAGGGTCACCTTTCTCATCACATCTAAAACTGATGTTCATAGAAAGATCATTTGACTACTGTTTCCTATTGGAAGGATCTTAATTTGTTTTAACACTAAATGACTGGTTACAAGACAGTCAAGTGCTCTGATAAATCAGCTTTTGTTATTTAATTATTTGTGTATGGTGGCAGGCAAAATAAACTCTATTTAACTGCATTTTGTCCATCTTCACTTACTCAGATTTTCCATGCCAGATTGCATGCATACAGTAAAGCTAAATTTCTTAGTCAGGTAATAAAAACTTTCACCCTTGTGTAGCTGATATTTTCACGTGGCGCTTCCAGTAAGCTAAGTTGGCCAAAGTGCCTTTCCTCCCTCTGTCCTCACACGCCTTTAAAAGCCAGGTGTTTACAGTGCAACGGACTCTCCAAGAAAAGCATCCTGGCCTGAGATGCCTTTAGTATTTGCCCCCTACATATCATAGTGATAGACACCTACTTTCTCAGCTTGTTCTGAGAAAAAGGAGTTGTCCTAGGACTCCTCAGGGGAGTCCTGCTATGCTGTGAACGTACAATTCCTTTTGCCAGCTTCTGCTCAGAGATTCATCCTAACAGTTAGGTCTAGATTAGCCTGACAATCACAGATTTCGTAACAAGTTCAGGTAGTTTGCCTGCCATCGTGAAAATGTTTTTATTCTAGGGTTATTAAGAAGAGGGGGACATTTTAAATACTTGCTGTGAATGTACAATTCCTTTTGCCAGCCTCTGCTCAGAGATTCATCCTAACAGGTCTAGATTAGCCTGACAATCACAGATTTCGTAACAAGTTCAGGTAGTTTGCCTGCCATCGTGAAAATGTTTTTATTCTAGGGTTATTAAGAAGAGGGGGACATTTTAAATACTACACTGTTCAATAGACAAGTTTAACTTGTCTATTGACAAGTTAACCAGTAACAGTACCTCAGGATAAACTACAATTGGAATTCTTCTTTAGGGATGGAAAAATTAGGTAGCCTACATCTTTTGGCGGAATATCAGAAAAAAGAAGCGAATTTGAGGAGGAGCTTTTTAATGTAAAATCCAAGAGACAATATATGAAGGGAAAAAAAAGAAATAACACAAACTATGGATTGCCAATATGAACAATACCACAAATTCAAGGATAGAATCTGGCACAGTATCTTTTACATATGACACTCATATTTGCAGTGGTCCAGCTATCATACAAGATTATTAATGCAAAAAGGCAAGTTCACCACAAATAGGGAGTAATAGAACAAAGACAGTCCTTGCCAGCTTCGTTTTTGCTTAGATATTTCATGCTCCTGGTTTTCATTATCAGATGTAGACCTCTTCATTGCACTGTAAGAAATACAGAAGTAATTATGGTTGGGGAGCAGGGTATATAGCCCAGTACATTCCCAACATGCTGGAAGGGTCCCTTGCTCACAAGACAGGTCAGAGAGTTACGCTCAAGAACAAAAGCATGAGATTACGGAAGAAGAGTCAACCAAAGTTGTGACCAGTAATACAGCGCTATTAACTGTTTTAATTTGACTACAACAGCTACAAGTATACTACAACTATTATCGTATTAGCGTGTACTCTACAGATAACAGAAATGGTCCTAGGGCTAGTGAGATTTGCATATAATCCTTCTCTAAAAGTACAAGTTACTGTTCTTTGTTACCATATTCATAGGACAGTTTTGGCCTTGAGAATTGCATTCTTTTATATTTGTTCAATTAAGTCTTAGCAGAAGGACTATGGAACTGTCTGATACGAGATTGCTAGGCAGTCACTGCCTACCATGAGGGAACTCAGGAAAGTGACAACAGTATATACATGCCAAGCAAGGGAAACGGCATACAACCGTGCAGAGGTCAGGTGGAGGAGGTTCACATGGCTGACAATTTAATTACTCCGCAAAATCATTAAGCTCTGGAGATGTGCTATTAGAAGTTCTGGCATATGCAACTGCTAAAGGGATAATTACAATGTGCCTGGGAGGTTTTATTCCAAGTTATTATTACAGCACATGGAAGTTACTTTATTTTTTCATGTAGGTTTATTACGCCTCCCACCTGCAGGAGACTCTCCATCTGTCACTTTGTGTCTGTGCCAGCACAGCCCAAGTGCATAAGCTACAACCTCCCTGTACAGTCCCACACGTCCTTTTATTTCACCCCTACTGCATTCACACCTCCCCTCTCCAGTCACAGCCCCCTGCATCACACTAGCTACCAATGACCGTGATGAAACAAGAATAGAGATAAGGGAGAGGCTCAAAACAACTAGGAAATGGCACTCCCTATTGACCACTGTGTTACTTTTCCATAATCATACGCACCAGGGTCACAGAAGAGGAGATGCGCTACCATAAGTGAGAAACAATTCCAGGTGAGGACAGGGGCAGCAGCGGAGTTTCACTGACCTTGGCCTATCAGTGAGTGAACATCTACAAAGAGATAAATGCAGAGGACTTTCAAAATAAGATCGTGGCTTGTTCAGCAGGGTCTGTTACCGTGCACTTAGTTCACCACATGGCATTAGGTTTCCCTCTGACACCTGTGCCATCTGTAAGCTTCCCTTCCATCTAAGTTTAACGCAACTGCCAATTCAAAGTTCAGAGCAGAGATGATAATACCTTTCCAGGAAGATCCAGGTCCCGACCAGATGGAGCTTTGAAAACCTTCAGTCTGTCAAGTAAAATTTTCCAGCACAGCTTCTTAGTGTCATGTGGTGCAATGAACCATCGTACTGTCCAGCCATTCTGCTCGACTGCCTGGCATCCGACCATTATGTTGCACGTTGCTGGTGGCAGCAGCTGCATACTCAGTTTGTGAACACCAATGGTAGTGACAGAAGACAGCTTTACGAGCATTCTATGTTTGAGAGCCGGCGTTGGTAGTAGAGGGACCATTTGCTGTGCTCCTAAGACACTGATTATTATTTATCCCATCATCAGGTGAAGTTTAAGCTACAACTGGTTTCTCCATTTCAAACCAGGACAGCAATTTCAGCTACAAGCAACACCTGCCCCTACCTGAGGTTTCATACTTTCTTCAGCAGTTGCAATGACTTTCAGTTACTTTCAAAGGAACAGAGTCACCTGGGGAGCCGTGTACAAGACCATCTTTTTCTCCACCTGCACAAGTAAATAATGTATTTAGTGTTAGGTAAGAACAAAACTGTTTGGCCCCAGAACAAGGTCTGTAATATTTTTTAAAGGAATTCCCAATAATCCAGAACTTTCACTACTGAAACAGGGCTTATGCACTCCAGGAAGGAACAAGATGCATATTCATAATCTGCAGAGCTTTCAGACATGAAGTATTCTCCACACAAATACTGCCCTACCCAAACCAGCACAAGCTGTCAGACAGCAAGACTGACACACACACAGTACTTCTTTTGTCATTTACCGTTGCTTCCAGGCTAAGTTACGTATAACATGTTTGTCTGTCTCAGTCAGAGACTCTGGTGAACAGCCTCCATTTTAGCCCCCTCTAACACCTCTCACCCCCACCCGCAACAGAGCACCTTAATCAATAACTAAGATAGTGGACAAATACATGTAACCGGACAGAAATTAGCAGATCCTGCAGAAAATACTTTAGCCTAGTGGAAAATTCTGTACCCAGAGGTGTTTTCCTGCAGATCTGATTCCATTTTGGATTCGTAGGCAATTAAGCATCAGAGAAGCTTTATTACATACTTTGGAAAAGAAAGATTCAGATGTTTGCCAGAATGAGAGGAAAATGAAGTCTTTCCTTCTCCCGTGCTGCCACCTCGTGACAAATCAGGCTCCAACTTCTAAAACAGACCAAAAGACACATCTAAACATTAGCAAGTTTTTTCAGACTCCATCAAACACACACTTGCTGTAGACATTAAACACACTGCTGCTATGGCAGGCACCCAAAAAACCATTTTTTTTTTAGTTGGTAGATCGCTGATCCTAGTCTGATGCTGCATCCCGTCTCTTTACCTGACTTTGCAAAGCTCCCGGCTTATCTACAGCATCTTCTTCCAACTGCAACTGAAGTCATAGAAACCAAGAGTTCCTACCCAGGCCCAACTGTCTGACAGTATCTTTTAAAGGGTCTTTCCAATGGTTAGCAGGACAAACTTGGTTTCTCAAGTCAACAGGAAATACAAGCTGAAATGTTCTTTGTGGTGCTGGCCCCAGAATTCTAATCAGTTACCTCTTCCTACAAGTCTTGCCTCTCCAGTCTCAGCAGTAATGAAACGGCAAAGTTTCTGTGCTGTTTTAGATAACGCATCTCAAGCTTCTGATCATCTAATAATTATGGAGCTGGAGGACAGATATTTCTTTGCAAAAACATCTTTGGAGCAATTGCTGCCTAAACACCACAATAAATCCCTCCTCCAAAGGACAACACGGAAGAACAGTAATATTTAACTCCTCTCCCTTCTTAAGATCTTCATCTGCTTTCACAGCTGTTTAATTAAAAGTTCAGCTCAGTAAAAAAGTAATACTGAATAACTTAAGATCCAGAGTATGCCAATATAGTAACTGAAAAATCACACAGACTGTAAGGCAACCAGACAGCCCATGGTGCAGCAGCAGCCTGTCAGCACACCTGCAGCACCTATAAAAGGTTTATACGTGTCTAGCACCTGTCCACTGAGGTTTACAAAGTGCTTTACGAACTCTAATTAACCCAAGGTGAGAATTAACAGATCTGGATTATGCAGAGACGAACGGCAATGAAACCCTCAAAACCTGAATACCACCATATCGAGAGCAAGCTCTATGCCCGCCAAAAAGCCAGGGACCCTGTCAGAAATGTTACTGCCAGGTCATGAATTGCACAATTCCCGTTTTTGGAAGAGAACAATGTACACGTCAGCCAGCAAGGTACGGAGTAACACCTGCTACCTGTAAGCTGAAAGACGTACTGAGAGTTGCAAAGGTGTAAGATTTGAAGACTGTTCAAAGCCACACCTATCACTAGTGCAAGTGCAAAAGCAGGATGCTACCGCTGCCAAAGTAGGCCTTCAACAATAAGATTAAGTCATTAGAAGATAAGAAAAAGCCAGAACTTACCCCTAGGTTGGCATGTAGCACAGAGAAGGCTGAAGTTTCCTTGTCGCTGTTCTCTGAACTCTCTCCATTTGGGGTTTTGCTTTTATCTTTAAAGTTTGCTCAAGAAACCTTTTTACTAAACAATGGAAGTAACCCTTCATACACAAGTATTGCAGAGGAACAAGCAGTGGTTAACAATTAGCAAATTCTACAGTCAGCCAAATGTTAGCAAACATCCAACCCCATGAAACATTAACCAGCTACCGAAGAACTAATCTAGAGAAAAAAGGCTGGAAGAAGAAAACTGTGTTTGCTCCATGCATGTCTTCACTGTTCATTGTGACATACTCAGTAAGTCCTATCAGACCAGCCACAAAACTGGCAAACACAAAAAATAGTAATGCATTTGCTGGGTGCCACTGATATTTTCAGTGTTAGAACTGCCTTACTGACTTGTCGCGTATTTGACTAGTGAAAGTAAAACTGATTCTAAAAACGCAGTGAAGTCAGGGCTTGTTAAGTTCGTTTTGTGCGACTCTCAGCAGACACACAAGAATCAACGAAGGCTGTATCTCTTTTAGTTTCAGATACTTTCACAACTTTGACATCGGGATTGTAAATACTGTGGGCATCCTTTTTTATATAAAAATAGCTAGGAGTAAAAGAAATTGTAGACAGTTTGCCCTTCCGTGATTACTGCAGTGTAAAGGTTTTCATAAGCATGACTTTTATTGGAACTTTTAAAAAAACACTAAAAATCACAACATTTTTATACTTAGAACTTCAACAGAAGGTATTTCTTCATGGACAGATCTACATGTATACAGCAGAAATTTTAAAAGGAATTTTAAAGCATTCTCTGAAACCTTTAACTGTCCATTGCTTGCAGCTTGAATTTACAATAGAGCTGTACTTTTGTATAGCTACCTTTCTTATAAAATGTAATGTTGAGTTTCTAAAATGTCACCTTATTTTGCAAAAAAATACAGAACTAATTCTGCTGAACAGACTAACATAGTTTAAAAAAAAAATGAAGAAGTTGTCTATCATATTTTCCCTAAGCAAAAAACCAACCATTTCCCATTTTCTTCCATTCCTCATAGTCATACGGGGAAGAGGTGTACGAGTTTGTTGGTCAAAGAGCAGCGGTCTCTACATCTGTGGCCTGGGTGAACATGAATTCAGAGGGACTGCATTAATGCAGCAGAAACATAGGCAGCCCATATCAATTACTGCAAGCTGTTCTCTTCCACTCCTCTGCTCTTCCTCAGAGTCATTCAAAACGGAAATGCAAAGACATCTCCCATGTCAGCCTCTCTCTAATTCCACTAACAGCTCCCTCTGCACCCTGCGCAACACAAGCTTCTCACCCTGCCACTCTGATGCTTTCACAGTACATCGCAGTATCTGCTGATTCCATCAGCCCCAGTACCTCCTCCCAGGCCTCCCACTGCACCGATCGTGTGTCTTCTCCATGCCTCTCCCCATCTTCTTCCACATCTCATTTTAGATACAATTCTTCACCTCAGGCTCAGCTGATAAAGAAAGCATTACTACACTCACCAAATCCTTCCTCAAAAATCTATGTCCACCATGACGCTCTTTAAGAATGCTGCTTTTCCTCAAGATAATGCCAACATGCCAAGCAACTCAGTGTTTTCACTTCTTCAGGTAACAGGGAAGTCCTTTTACAGAGAGAATGTGTTTTCCTTAGTCAGAACTTTATTTCTATGCACATAGTTCACATAAGACCTTTTACTTTCTTTGTTTTAACACATGATCACAGATTAGAGCAGAGGTGACTAGCAAAAGACAGTAATTGTGTATATGTGATTCATGACATTACTAAAAGCTACGTTTCTTGCTGTGCAAGATTCCTTTTCCCATTACTATTTTCTTTGCTTCTAAAAAGGAAAAATTTGTACAAAATACATTTGGAAAATGTGTTATGTATTAGTTATGTGGAATCTTTAAAATGAAAAAAAGCTATTTTTTCCCACTAACAAACATACCTTGGAATAATTACAGGCATACCAAGTGATAACTGTCCAAGTTGGTAAGAAAGTAAGTCCAGGCATACCACGCAGAGCACAGCTCCATAAAGCAGGGATGTAAAAGGAAAGCGCTTTACAAGCCCTGACGATACTGACCAATGCCTTGATCACTCAGCTATTTCAAACTTTGATGCTTCAGAAGATGCCTCTTGGCTATTTCCTTAGCTTCTTTGCAGACCCTCCTTTTCATTTTCAAGCTGTCTTTTTCTCCATTAATATTTGGAAAAAAGGTTGGGCTTTTTTTTGTCGGGGTGTTTTGGGTTTGGGTTTTTTTTGTGGTTGTTTTTTTTGTTGTTTTTGGTGTTTTGGGTTTGGGGTTTTTTTGTGGTTGTTTTTTTTGTTGTTTTTTTTTACCATCTTCATTGTCTACAATAATTCAAACAAAAATGGCTATTCAGGCCTGTTTTTTTCAGGATCGGCACTGGTTTCCTGCACAGGAACAGTTGTTTGATCCCCATTCTCCACGGATAACAAAGTCTGGTCCTGCTGTCCACTCTTTAAAACATGTCAAAGGAAAACACAGAGTATGAAGAGTCAGCTTTTATTAGCAAATGCCTGCTACTTTCACTACTAACAGTTAGACTTTTGCTTCTTTCTTAAGATCAAGAGTCACTGTAGGTCCCCTCTCAAATGAGAAGTGCAAATTATATAGTCCATTCAATGTTTTTCCTATGAAACGCATCACTGTCTGCACAGATACCAGATCTTGCAAATCACTAACGGGAACTTTTAGGGCATACATAATACTGTAGGATGGAGAGTAAATAAACACAGTTATGTAAGTCAGACTCGTATTTCTTAGTAGGAGTCCATCTCCTAAATCCCCTTAAATATTCATTCTTAGACAACGTCAGGAGATAATAACGGCCTAGGGACTAGATCCCAAGCCTCCTAATGAGAATCACATAAAATGAGTTTATCCTGTGTAGTTTTGGGGATTCTGGAACTCACAGGCACTCCCAGTATCCACAAGCTGCTCCAGCACGCACTGAGCCCATCAAACACATAGCACAAGCAAACACTGAACAAAAAACCTACTTCAGATGTCAACATATTACAAAAAAAAAAGAAAGGAGAGAGAGAGATACTCACCACTGATTCCTGCACCGCTGCAAAGAAAAGGAAACAGTCCCATCAAAATGCAGTAAGGTGAACTTTATACTAACGCATTTTTCTAATTGTGTTATCTTGTCCTTACATGTATGTAGGAGTGGTTCAGCGGTGAGCCGGCATAGGCACACCCCCTAAGGGAGGCATCATTACAACAGGTTAACTGTGGCACACAGAAACGTAGAAATTTCCTTGCAGTTCACCTCTAATTGGCTGTTAAGGTTTCAGCTCAACATCTAGTGAAACGAAGACCGCTCTTCGGAATACTAAGCTATTACAAAACCACCCCTTTATACACATGCTATTCGTACTTACGTGGCACATAAGTTTTCCTTTTCTTCCTTTGCCAGATATATGTAAGGCCAGCTGCAACAACCAGCACGGTTCCAACAACAGAACCAACAATTGTTGTAACAGAGGAATCTGAGGAAGGATTCCCGTCCCCTCCTGGTACCCAGCCGCTCTCCTTAAGTCTGTTGTGAGAAAAGAAATAATTGTGTTCTTAGAGCCTGTGAGCAGACCTTGCAGTGGAACTGCTGTACTGTTTTTAACATCACACCTCCACATCCAGGGGCATTCACAAAAGTCTTTCTGACTTGGTGGGTAATCCAAGAAGGAGCTGCCTTTTACCTCTTTGTTTCAATGCTTGTAAATGCAAATTGATTCTCCTCAGAAGCAAACTCTCACCTGTTCTACTGTAGCTAAGGGATGTGTCAGCTGAAACCCAGGTACCCAGAGGAGTCCACTGCTCTTCGTGGGTCCAGATCCAGCTCTGTTAGAGCTGTCTGAGACTCTCCTGTGCACTGACAAGTTATGACAAGAGGCTGAAGGCAAAATCTGTCATGTTAGTGAGTTTATAAAGAGAGAAGTTAAGCTGTTCCCAAGAAGGAGTGGGACATAGGAACAGGATTCCACACTTGGTGCCTTACTGGAAGCAGGAAACTGCTGTTTTGAAGACAGCAAAATGCAGACCCAAAAGTTAAAGAGAATATCCCCACACCCATAAAGAGTAAGAGCTGCTTACCTGGGCCACGGTGTACAACTGTAGGACATGTTGGCTGTTGAGGAGGTTCCGGGAGGACAGGCTTCACACACATTGTCAGTGGTCTTCGTGCCTGTAAGGGAGAAGACAACAGGATTTCTATCTGCACCTATGCCTAAGGAGAGCTTCAGTTCAGCATGATCTTTGTAAATGACCAAGTGATTGCTGCAGAGACTCTTCATTACAGACCAAAGCTCACACACTTCTGTCTTTGCAGACAGGAAAAAAAGCATTCTTGGCCACATCAGCTACCTCAGCATCTAGGACTTACATAGATCGTGCAAGCTTTCAGCTGTGCACTGGTGCTCTGACAATTACAGTCAGCACAGTGGACCAGTATACATCATATCTCGTATGGGCTGGCCCTATCCGTTCACACTGATCCTTCACTACTTTTTTTCTGGATGAACTGACAGCCAGCCTCCTCAAAAATCAAACTCCAAAGGCACTCCCCATAAGAAAGTTTGGTGTTACTGATGCTATGTTGGCTTACCCCTCTCTTTTACCATAGTGCCAGGAAAGCAGACAGTGTAGCGTTGACAAAGTTCACAGTCTTCAGTCCCAAAATAACTGCAGAAATACCCAGGCAGACAGCCACACACAGTATTCTTCGTATAGGTACAGGCTACTTCTGGCACTAGGTTGGCTCCTAAGAGAAATTTACACGCACAGCCACAGTATTTACATGGGTACAATCAACAGATGCAAAAGCAAAAGTGAACATTTAGCCTTGCCTTGATGCACTGGTGAAGAGCACCAGAACTAACAGGATTAGTGAAGATGACTCCTTTTTTGATGTATAAAGAGAGCCCAGTTCCTCACAGACACAGCATCTTGGGTCACATTTGCGTCCGTCCTAAGTGACCTTCATGGCAAAAGCAAAATACTCCCAACACAACTCTGTTTTTAAATTAGCTGTCCTGGTGAAGCAGGACAGCTCCACCAGGAGCTCTTTCAGGCCTGAAATTCCAAGCATTCCAAGACAGCTCTTTAGACACCATGCTTCAATCTAAAGGAGCCTTTAAATCACAGAATCATATAATGGTTGGGGTTGGAAGGGACCTTACAGATCATCTAGTTCCAAGCCCCCTGCCGTGGGCAGGGACACCTTCCACTAGACCAGGTGGCTCAAAGCCCCATCCAACCTGGCCTTGAACACTTCCAGGGATGGGGCATCCACAACTTCTCTGGGCAACCTGTGCCAGTGCCTCACCACCCTC